TGTTTATTTATTATTTGCATACTTTTGCGATTCTGGTGATTAATTCCAGGCCAAATGCTCGTTAGTTAGGAAAGCACCATCCCACTGAACTATATATTCCCAGATTAAAAGTGAGCCTCTTATCAATAAGATGTCAGTGAAGAAGAAAAAAAAGCAAAAGCAACATTTTAGTTACTAGTGCTCCATAGCTGTCTTTCTTAAGCATGGCCAAACTATAGCGAAGTCCAAGTTCACTGCGTACTTCTCTCTTCTCTCTTGCTCTTTTTGAAGAGCAGGGTGATATGTTTTGCTGTATATACATATATATTAACCAAATATTTCAGTATAAGTCTTGAAGACTCCTTTTGCACCAGCCTGTGCTCTAGCAAATCCAAACTTTTTACCTGCAATATATAGGCTGGAGAAGAGCAGGTTCCTTTTGACCTCAAATTTCCTGTGAGCAAGATATTTCAGTAACTGTAAATGGTTCATTTATCTTCCCTGTCTTCTTCTATTGAATTGTTGGGTATTTTCCATTTCCACAGTTAGAATGGATGTAAGCCAATACTGAAATGTAATAAGTAAATCTCTTGGATATAAATTTGCTCACCTGGAAGATAAAGATCTATAAAATTAGGAAAAAAATATACAAGGTCTTTTGTGTGTATGTACATAGGTAATAAAATGTCTCTGATATTCTTCACCTTGCATATTTTCCCTATTGAACATTGCCATATGATTATGAAACATATATAATATTTATTCATCTATCTAGTCATTTTTTATTGGGACAGAACTGAGGCTTGAACCCAGAGTCTACATGCTGTCCCTGAGCTTTTGTGCTCAAGACTAGCAGTCTACCACTTGAACTCTAGTTCAACTTCTGTATTTTTTTGTGGTTAACTGAAGATAAGAGTATCCATATCTTAGGGTTCATTTCGCTTAGCATCATCTTACGTTGCTGTTGTTTTTAATGGACTATGTGATTTTTTTGTTTCTTTTTTGTTCTTCTCCCTGTGGTATATCCCTGTTGTCACTGTATTTGATTCTGGTATCTTGCTTCTTGTATATACATTCATCTAATTTGAGGAGGGGAAGGAAAATAACAAAATGCTGAAACAAGGACAAAGGATGACGATTGCAACAATGAGACTCACAAGACACTATATTGGACATGAACTTTACATCTTTGGGGGAGGGAGAGATGAAGAAGGTGGGGAAGGGAAGGGATAGTAGTAGGAGAAAAACAAAGGAGGGGTAACAATGCTGGACAAAAATATGTACTCGTTACCTTACTTATGTAACTGTAACCCCTCTGTACAGCATCTTTATAATAATATATACATATATATATATGTATATTAAAAGAGTATAAATTACTTTCTAGCCTAGGCTGGCTTTGAACTCTGCTTCTCAGGTCTTAGCCTCCTGAGTAGCTACAAGAATAAGCCAGGGACACCTGGCATGATTCTCATATATTTAGAGAGAGAATTATTTACAGTCAACTGTGTAGGCTACAAGAAGCAGCTCATTTTTACCTTATTGTGTCTCTGGTTATGTATTAGTGGACTGAAATTGCACTACTATCAATCTATATGAGATGGAAAAACAGTCACTTTTCCATTGAATGACATGGCTTCAAATTCCTTAGAAAATATTAACTACTGAAATTGTCTCCCTGAAGATTACATTAAGTGAAAGAATAATTTACCTATCATTTATAGATTTGAGTTTACTGGCTAAATGATAAGCTTATTTATTTACTGGTCAAATTATAAAACTTAGCATTGTTACATAGATTGGGACTTACAACTCACAGAAATCTCAGTTCCTGCCCATTTTAAAGTCCACACCAAGAAGGAAAAAAAATTCTGAATAGGATCATTTGATTTTTACCTTTCTCTATTTCCAATACAAAATGTATCACAATTTTCAAGTAAATCATATGTAGTATTTTGTGCATATGTATGCTAGGGCTTGAACTGAAGACCTTAAGTTTTCACTCAACCTGTTCACTCCTTGCTGGTGCTCTACCACTGAGCCATGCTCCAGGTCCATATCTAGAATGAATGTAGTAGTTTTGTTTTCTAACATCATTAATAGTATACTGCCCAAAGGCCAAAGCCTATCTGGAGGCTTTGTATCTATGCCAAATGCTTTCAATTTCTTAATTGTTTCTGTCTGTTAACAATGAAAAAAATGTTTCCCTCCATTTTCACAGTAGCTATGCCAGACTGCAAAGAAGTAGAGCAAAACTCATGAATTTCTGATCTGGGTAAAATAAATAGTGTATAAACTTTGCATGTTTATTCCAGAGACCTGTGAGTTCATGATTTATTCTGTGAGGAGATGTTGAATATTTGGATCCTCTATCCAAATATCATAGTGAACATATGTCCTGTTTCCTACAAGACAGCCTTAGTTTATGGTGTTTTCTAGGCATAAATATAAACAGCAGCCCCTTTCACTTTTTTAAAATCATAGTTGGAATAATGAATTATATGGTCACTTTTTCCCAAACAAATGAATATATCATTTAAAATAAGTAATCATGACAGAGTGTACTTTCCTGATTCACTCTTCAATACCTGACAATTTTTAATTTTACAAATCTGAAACAAACATTAAAAAGTTACTCAAAAAGCATCATTCCTATATTATCTTCAAAATCAAAGAGATAACTCACATAAATTAAGTACCCTACAGCATAGTTTATTTAAATTTGGAATGTGGCAGAAGGATCTTTGCTATATTTACAACATTTTCTTACTAGTAATTCTGAAAATTAGAGAAACCACATAAAACTTACTCAGTGTAGGATAAAATATCTTTAAAAATGTTGTGTAAATTTTAATACGGATTAAAATTGCACTTTCCCTGGGATACATCGATACCTTTATATTAATCTAAAATGTTACATACAACCACCCAGAGCTGGGCACCAGTGGCTCAGGCCTATAATTCCAGCTATTTAGGAAGATAATCATAGCATGAAGCCAGCTCAAGCAGAAAAGTCCATGAGACTTTTTTTTTTTTTTTGTCGATCATTGGGCTTGAACTCTGGGCTTGGGCACTGTCCCTCAGCTCTTCAGCTCAAGGCCAGTGCTCTAGCGCGTGAGCCACAGTGCCACTTCCGGTTTTCTAGTGGTTTATTGGAGATAAGAGTCTCAAGGACTCCCCTGCCCCGGCTGGCTTTGAACCATGATCCTCAGATCTTAGCCTCCTAAGTAGCTAGGATTACAGGCGCTGGGCCGGTGAGGCTTCTTATCTCCAATCAATCACATGGAAAAAGCCTGAAGTGGCGCGGTAGAGCAAGTGGTAGAGTTCTGACCCAAATAAACTCAGAGACAGTACCCAGGACATGAGTCCAAGCCCCAGAACTGGCAAAAGAACCACAACCACGGAAAAATCAAGCCAGAGTCACACCTATAAAAGGTATATCCTAACATTTTATATTATATAGAATATACCAAGGCCTTTTGATATTTGGAACATTTTTTTCATGGAGAAACTATTAAATACAGTGAATCTTATATGCTCAAATAATTCCACATCCTGAGGAGTTCATACTCAAAATAACACAGATTGCACTTATGAACAAACTTTCAGCTCATTCTGGGGTTTGTAATGGCTTTATTTTTACTTAGAAATATTCAAGTGATTTCCACTAAAAAAAGAAAGAAAGAAATTTCAGCACAAATAGTAGAGGAAAAAGAAAAAGAACACTAAGGTTGTATTAAATTTGTTAATTAAGGGTGACTACCAGATGGTGGTCCATTTTTGAGGAGAGCTGGCACAGTATTTTTACTGTGGTATTTATAACTGAGGAAGCCAGCACATGGGAGATGCCAGCATATTGACCTTCCTTGTCCTGTGTGACAGACATCTACATTTAACAAAGCCTCTCCCAAAGAACTCAGTAACATTGTCTTAAAGCAGGAGGTCATAACGTATTTATCACAAGCCATAGAATGTGATCTTGTAAAGCTAGTGTTCTCAAAATTCACTACCTCCTCTAAACAGTTGCAGTAATCCACTCAAAGAGATAGCACAAACCAAATTTTAGTCTAAATATTTTACTTGCAAACCATTCATTCAAAACTTAAACTATACTATGCTATAGTAAGGCCACACCAAAAAGATGAAAAAGGAGAATAGGGAAAAGAAAATCTGGAAACATACTTGCACTGTACTTTTTGCTAACCATTTAAAATAGCTAAAAACTAAAGAGAAATATATTACAATGAAAGTAATTTTGAAAGTCCTTGTTAAGTATTTTATATATATATATATATATATATATATATATATATCAGCTCAGGAACATGAATATATACAGAAGCTATATTAAACAAACAAACAAAAAAACATGAGATGAGTCCTGATAAGTAATAGAACATAGCTGAAGCCAAAGGGTATCGAAGCTGGATTCTTAGGAACTAATGAAATGGATTAAATATCCTTTGTGAGTGAAAGACTTAGCAGTAAATCAGTTTGTATTAGCTCCCAAATAATACTGATAAGAAGTGTCCTTCAAGAAGGATTTTTCTGATCTAATTGCTATTATTAAAGTCAGTACAGGCTTAAAACAAATACCTCTAATATGTACACACAAACCAGGCAAAATTAGAATAGACTTTCCCTAAAGACTTGGTAAACATTCAATTAAAACTTTACAATTGCAAAGTTCAAGCCAGGCTTGTCTGCTGACAGAGATCTTAGTATCTTAGACTTTCTGCACAGTTTCATGGGTGTTTAAGCATACTCTGCATTTTCTCAAGCCAGCTGATGGCAATATTCACTGGGATAAAATTAATTTCCACGGCAACAATTTTCTGATCTATTAAGTGGATAGAAGAAAGGGGAGTGGTGTAATGACGTGCCATTGAATAGATAAAGCGGATGTCAAATACTTATGGTGAACACAAAAATATTTCACGGTATTTTTCAGTGTTATTACATAAGTGTTGTTTAGTTTCCAATTTATATTTTACCCCATTACACAAAGTTAATATATTTACCTTCATTTTTCTTGATGGTGAAATTAGGATTGTTGGCCATTTCCGGGAGGAGACTGTATAAGAAATAATGTCCATTTTTGGGCTCATCTTTGTCTGTCGCACTTACTGTTTGTATGACCTGTAACACAAAATTGACGTCAGCATTTCTGATCATATCAGAGGGGGCTCCTATTGCCTTTAAAAAGCATCCTGATATTCCCCCTTTTGCGGTCTGACACACGGGCCCAAGGATTCTTCCTCAGCTCTCTAAGTTGTCATGGATGGTTTGTGCCAAGAACAGGGAGAAAAAAAATCCATCACTATTAAAAAAAAACAGCTTTGATAAGTTGATGAAAATTAAGAACATTACCTTCTTTTCCATTTGGTGTCTGTGGCTTGAAATAGCAAAGTTAAGTGTATTTGAAAAATCCACTGGGTCATTACTGGTTTCTTTGCAATTTGAGTATTTACTGGCATCTAGAATGAGATTTGGAATTGTTACAGTGATTGCGCGGTGGCTCCTGGGAGGATGTTGGAGGTAGAGGGTTTAAATCTTGATTCCTCACTATTCTTCATTCCTCCTATTCATCCGGTTACCCGTGCTTGCCAAATAGGCACAAACATCACTGTGGCAGACCTTTCTGTTGGATTGCATCTGTTCCTGCCCCATAATGAGCACTGCTTTTAAAGCTAGTGGATAGTGTATGCAAACAATGCTTTGGAGTGTATCCTGAGATGCATAAATTACAGGGATTAGGAGAATTACCACTGTGCAGAGAACTGCTTAGTTGACACAGATTCTGGGAATCAGTGTCTATTGAAAGTGCTTGATTCCCTTGCAAAGCGAGTCCAGACTTAATGCTAGGTTGTCTCTTGGGATGTCAGAGAATTATCTCAATTAATAGTCATGATTTCATGATATATCCTTATTTTAATACAAGACATTATACCAGAACTAATAGTTAAAATACAGTTATCATCTCTCCATCACATATCTACAGTATATATCCTACAAAAAAAGTGGATGAAGGAAGGTAACCTAAGCAATGATAGATTTAAGCATTAAAAATAGTAACAGGGAAAAATAAAAATAAAAGTTTTATGCTCTGAAAACATTGAAATTCTCTCTGGTTTATGCAATTTTGATAATTGTGTGATTATGCTAAATATAATAGGTGAACTTTTAGGTACCATAGAACTTTGCAGTTTTTTTTAAATACATGGATTAATTTCTGTTTTGTAAAAGAAACCCATTGTAATTTGTGACCTAAGAAATATTATAGCCACAATGTAGAACTCTAGTAGTTTTGATCATTTTGCATTATATCCTTCCCATATAGCTTATGATAGGTAATGCCTTCAAGCTAAAAATGAAAGAACTTCCAGTTCTCCATTTTTTAAATTGAACAGATTATCAGCTTGGGTGTGAATTTTTTCAAGAATCTGTTGTCTAATTTTAATGTCTTATAACCAGTAATAACTATAAGTAGTTTGGCAAGATAACACGCAATGGTAGTATAAAAAAGCCACTGTGGTTAAGAGAGTAATTAAGAGAAAAGACACTGAAATCAGACTGCCCAATCTGCAGTCACAGTTTTTAATCATCTTTGTGTGAGATTAAAGAAATTGTGAAACTCTTTCTTTGAAAATCTAATGTAAAAAGAATATGCTTTTCCCATCAAATTCTTCAAATTATTGATATGAATATCTTGTCACAATGTCTGGTTTTGGATAAATGTCCAAAGAAATAGTAGTAATATTATAGTTTTTATATAAACATTGCTATTTATTGATGATATGGCACTTAGAAAAGTGTAATGACTCTGGTTTTGGATTAACAGGGACCCAATATAATCAGATTAGAGGAGAAAGAAATTGTATTTACCATAGCTAAGCACATAGCATATTTGCTTTGACATTAAATGCAGAGAAAACCCTGGGGTTATAGTTTCATAAAAATAGACATGACTGAATCTGCAAGGGGAGAAGATGTCAAATATGCATAACACTTCTGGACAGCATGAATGTACAAATGTTTAACAGAAAAAATATAGGCTGACCAGAAAGTAAAATTTTAAAAATGGTTGAAGGGAGGCATGAAGCCTTGATTTCAAACTCCAGTAATATTAATAGATAGATAGATAAACAGATAGATAAATAGATGTTAAGGAATTGAGAAGGTTCTTCTTTATTTTTCTCCAATCTACCTTTTATATTATTCAACTGATTAACACCATTTATACTACTTCTAATTAATCTTGAGGAAAAAAGTTCTTATATGAATGTCTAATGATGTCAATTCGATCTGAGAGCTATTTGCTTAATTAAGCCAGCATAACAAAAATTAATTCAATAAGTTAGCTTATATGCAGTGAGTGGAGAACTATTTATTATACAACACCTTCGAAATTTAGTTTGGATGTCATAAAATTGAATATAATTTTTCCCATGTGAGTCAACTGAACCAGAAAGTCTTGGGGTATTACTTAGCGATATGCATGTCATGTGGCTTTCTGTGTCATTGTGGCACAAGTTCTAGTCTGAGAATCAGTGTGTGGAGTCAAGAAAAAGATGGGTGCCTACAGCATCTTCATTACCGTTCAGTAAAAGAGTTAGTATAGTGAAACTTCATTGCCTGATGTATAGACAAGTAAGTACTTCAAATGGTAATTCTTTAAATCATGTTCCAAATAGACTATTAACTAGCCATGGAAGATTTTGGGTTAAGGCATGTCTAATATTTTGTTTTGCTTTAAAGTGGAAATAATGTAGATCGCTAGTACCTGAACATTTTATCTGAAAGTAGATCACTTGAATGACTGTGCCAAAAATGCATTAGAATATCTAGATTAAAAAATTAGACATTTCTATTGATGTAATAACAGATAAATGAACTTAGCTTTAAACAGTGGAAGGAAATGAATAGATTTACTCAGGAACATTCACCTCCAGAGACACATGATCAAGAAAAGCTGAGTAGATGGAAAATGATTTGTACATAGGTTCCACTGTTCCCTACTCTTACTGATGTTGATTTTAAAAAAAAATAATTAGACAGTTATTTCATTGAAACAATACAAAAATTTTCAGAGATGTTACAGGCATTTAGGAATAAGCATTTAACTTTCAGTTTAAATATTTGATTTTCTACCTATAAAGTTGGACGCAAATGAAATAAATCTAATGGTTAATAATCTCTTGTGAAATTCATTCCATTTCAAGGGAAACAGAAAGCAATCGATGTGCAGTGTGTGTGTGTGTGTGTGTGTGTGTGTGTGTGTGTGTGTGCGTGTGCATGTGTGCATGCGTGTGCGTATAGGGGTCTGTACATACATAAAATTGAGACAAAACATAAATACATTCCAGGAGCATGTTTCAACTTCAGTGGGAGAGAACTCTGATCTAATTCCTGAGACTACAAATATGAAATCACATAATATTTCTGTCATGAAACTGAAAAGAAGTATGAGAATTTTGTACCAGTCCATAATGCTGACCATAAAGAAAACTCTGTAAGTTATCCTAAATCAGATTGTTTTATTAAGAGCTATTATACCTGACGATAGTTCACAGTAACTCAAGTATTAAGTAATGGTAGAGTATTGTTGCCATTAATAATTTCAGAAAAGTTAAGAAGTCAGCAGACAATGCATTTCTGATGACCTAATCTGTTAACAAGGAAAACAGGATCTTGGGATCCCACTTGCCTGTGAGTTCCTGAAGTTGATTGATCAGCTCTTAGTTGCCAAGCTTAAAAATCTATGAGATCTTTCTCGCCTCTCACTACTGTTTTCTCAATGTTAAGTATTGACTATCTAAATTATTGTATGCATAGAAGACAGCAATCACATTTCTATATTCTTATAAAATCTTTGCAATGCCTTAAGAAGAAGCATTAATTAAAAGACCTAGCAGTATTCCAGTACATCTGAACAGTCTCTATCATATATGTTTGATTATAAATCCAGTCTTTCTCCCCTACCAGACATGCCAGGTTGTCTTAAGTGTGTGGAGGTTCACACTTCCTGTGAATGCATATATATATGTCAGTCGTGGGGCTTGAACTCTGGGCTTGGGTGCTGTCCCTCAGCTCTTAAGTTCAAGGTGAGCACTCTACCACTTGAGCCACAGCACCACTTCCAGTTTTCTAGAGGTTTTTTGGAGATAAGAGTCTCACGGACTTTCATGCCCGGGCTGGCTTTGAACCGCGATTCTCAGATCTCAGCCTCCTGAGGAGCTAAGTGCATTTATATTATCCTGGGGTTTCCAATGTTCTGGTAAATGTGGAAGGATAAGCAATCCATCCTCCTTGCTCGTGTCCTGTGTCTTAGCAGTAGAAACTTTCATCTGAATTCTACCTTGTAGAATGAATAGCTAATTTAACATTCAGAATCCAGGGTTCTATCTGATTGTGGAAAAAAATGGGAGAGGATTCGCTGGTTGCAACATTTGGTACTATTCTTCAAAGATTCCGGAATATAGGGGTCATATATGAAGACGTGGCAAAGATAAGGACTTGAGTGTCTGAAATCAAAGCCCACTGTCACTTTCATACAAAAGCCTGGTTTACTTTTCTTCTTTTCCCCTGTAGTGAGGTAAATTGCAAGGTGTGGTCAAGAGGGTCAATGGAAAAAAATGGAGAAATCAACGGTGGTGGAATAGCACAGATTTAAGGATTTTGACTCTTCCATTATTGTTGGCTAATTTCTGATGATCAACACTGACTTTTCTGAAAGACTGATCACTTTCTTAGAAGTGATGGTGTTTACACTGAGAATCAATGGATGACCCATAAGTCAGCTCCATATGATTTTGCCAACATGCAAGTAAAATTATTTTAAAATATTTTTATATGTGTATAATTTAGAGAAATAAAATCCACACAGAATATGGTATCCAGAATCAGATAAAAGATAACAAAATGGGTTGAAAAGTAATTCCTCAAAAAAGGGGTCATTGAAAATAAAAATTGCACATGAAAGAGAAATCAACTTTTCATAACCATGAGGAGAAAATATCGGTATCTGGGAAATTATATCAGAATCTCACAATGACCTAATTATTCCCAAAGTGTATAATGTAGCTTAAATGTAATCACCATCACCATCATCATATCCCTGTGAAGTATATAACCACAAT